ATCTTGACATGATGAAGATGATGCAACAATATTAAATACAGAAATTATTTCTTTGGGATTTTCTAGCCCAGTTTCTCGTCGTTGGTGGTGTACACCGGGTGTACACTACAAGTTTGGTCCTAACTCAATTTTGATAAAAAAGTGAGTTACTAGGTTTTGCCTTTTGACGGGAGATTTATAATCTATATTCTTGAATAAAATAAAACAACGATCAGTTAAGCGATTGCCACATCATCTTGACATGATGAAGATGATGCAACAATATTAAATACAGAAATTATTTCTTTGGGATTTTCTAGCCTAGTTTCTCGTCGTTGGTGGTGTACACCGGGTCCGACAAGGAAGAGCGCCCAATCCTTCGGACGAGATAATAACCGGAGGTCCTGTCTACAAGACAGAAGTTATGTCTATGATTTTTTAATGTCGATTATGATTTTAAACTGACACACAGTTTTCTTTAATTCATTCTAAACAAAATGATCAGTTGTATAGCAAAGCCTATGTTATTTTTTGTAAATTCAAAAGAAAGTATGTAAAGAGGTCAAATATAGCGATTTCGTTTATCCTATTATTCAAGACGGGAGCATTAGCGCGTGATTTCATTCATTATTTTCCGCTCTTCAATTTTAATGTTATTACATAAAAAAATATATACAAAATTCATACTAAACAAGAAACATTAATCTTATCACGTCTCAATTCATTTAATGTATAGAGAGGTTTTTTTCTTTTGCTATATACCCACCTGTTACGCCCACAAATAAACAACACACCACAGCTGTTGAACATATCAATAAAATAGAAGAACGGTCTAACTTCATGGTGATTCTACAGAGTATTAACACAGTTTCTTTGGATCAATTAATCAATGTCCTTGTCTGCCGAGGATAAGATTTTCTATCGGGAGAGTAGATCAGAGTAAACCATTAAACATGTATTATATATCGAAAAAGACTGCTACACACCTTCGTTTCCACCTTTATCAGTCTATATACCTATATCATGAGACTATGACCCTATATTTGCCGATAAAGAATATGATACGTGTAAAGTCCAGCCTAATTACTGACATTTATTTCAGTATAATTGATAATGATATGCAGATTTGACAAGTCACGCGAATTGTCTGATACATACAAATATTAATTGTCACAATGCTGTAGTCTTCTTTTTTTTATCATTCTCCCACCCCCTTCATCTTTATTTTTTGTTGCCTTATGTTACCTTAATTTTTCGATTATACTGTATGTGTAAGAAATATACTAGCACGAGTTAAATCATCATGGAAACTAATAATATCAATTCGTAGTTGACATGATCTGGTGTGTAAGAATAGATTGTTACTTGTCTTGTCTTTCACCGCATAAATGATTAATTTTATATATAAATTTAGAATAACCTCGCTTATAGATTACGAATAATCCAAGCACTGAAGAGTAAGGTATTTTTCATTGTCGCCCGAATTTTCAGAATGAATCATGAATCAATCATGAACTAAAACGAATTTTCCACAAAACTGTGATGGTTGTTTAACTTTAATTAATTACACAATTACACAATATAAATTTACAATATGTTAAGTAAAAAACAACTTATTGTTTCCCATTCTCTGACGTTTGTGCCCGAAAAACGGAAATAAATTGCCCGAGCCCCCCGCCCCCTCCCGGCTACTAGGCCTTCGATGTGCATATCTCTACGGTGGTCGAGTGCAGATTTGTCTCAAAGTTTGCATACAATCTAGGCTGAACATTCTCGGTGAAATGCGGGATTTGAGGTATATCCTGAATGGGGAACACTATATCCAGGTAAATCAGTACATATTAAATCATCAATTAGAAAGATGGAATATTGCCCATGGAGCTTGAATATCGCCACAAGCTTTAAACGCTAGATGGATTGGCGAGCCCGACCCTATCGCCACCGCTACATACTAATCTGATAAGGACTCCTGCGCAGTAAAATCTGATAAAACTGAAACACTGTCGAAATGTAAACAACATATTGTGCAAGACTTAAAAGTATAATCTTACACAATCTTATCTTTAACGAGAGTATAAAAAATCTCACATTATCATAGTTCGTTTACCCAAATCAGTAAATTATATAACTTCAATCACACTGATTTTCTGCGAAGTCTTCATTTCAACATTCACAGATCAAACTATGTCATTTCTGATCAACAATTTGAGATTGGGAACTAAAAAATATTTAGCCAGTGAGAAAATTACATCACATTATGTCTCTAACAATGTCACGAATGTTGGTTTTTAGTATCAAATTAATCAAAATGACATATTGGCACCAGGAATTATCAAATGGGAAAAATTGATAAGAGTTTAATGACTTTGCATGCTTCATAATGTCCACTTGCCATGTCTTCATTAGCCCAGCATAGGAGCAGAAAAGTAGGACGTTAAACCCCATTTCATTTCATTTCATTCCACTTGCCATTAGCGTAATGATTGACTTCTATAATATTGTCGTAGCTTCTCGGTCGGGGCAACATTTAAATTCTGTTTTAAAAAAATAATATTTATTCTAACAGACAACAACGGTAGTATAATGCAAGAACAAAGTATAAAACCAACACGTGTGAAAGACGCGTGTTAAGTTAGTCATTTATAAATTGTGTGTACAAAGCTTGACCAAACCATATGATTTTGTTCGTTAAATAAGATAACGATAATATTTTATGGTATCGAGATTTTATTGTATCAAATTGCCCCTTATAGCGCATCACATCTTGGTTTAAACAATATATTATTCATTTGAAAAAGATAAAACAACAGACAAAGCCTATAACATAAGTTCTTTCCCATCTGGCGACATTCCAATCTGATTATAATGCAGATCCTATTTCGTTTCATTTTTATAGTTCAAAATTAGGTTTTACTTGTCTTTACTACACTAGGATCTGGAAGAGTTATTATCATTAACGTGTTCTAGGTGATGTGAGAGATTAGCCAATAAAACGGTCTGTTACGGTGTGCTTTTGGTTTGAACTGCACGGAACTGTGGGTAATCCACTAGAAACATCAATGCTGATTGGTTAATGAAATATCTGATGTCATAGGGTCAAAAGCCGCTCGTATGACCTCTGACGTCTCCAAAACAACTGGTCAGATCTTCATGTAGTGTGGCCCACCGAAAGTATAAAAAAAAACGAAACGAAATATAGATACATATTTGAATCAGATTGGCGACATTCATAACTAATAGCAGTCTCATTTTAAGATTTATTCGTATAATTTGGATCTACTTTTTAAACATTTGCTTTTCTACACATTGCCTGTCAAGAATTACATCCCCCACACAAAAGATAAATCAGTTAAATAATAATTCGATACTTTAAATTACATTGAACAGTATATAGGGTTTGGTCATTAATCTTGATGGAAAATATGTATATCATATCATGACATGTAGTATGGTCTTAATTTACCATGTGGTTTAAATATTAGCATGGTCATGTGAATGTCACCACAACTAAGCTCAACCGGTTAATAGATCAACAAACAAATTTCATTATAGTTGTTAAATAGCCGATTATCTCTAGAGACTTTCAAATAGATATTGATTAGTTAACCCTTACCTTTGTTACACGAACCTCCTCAATATGACTAAAGGTAGAATCAAATATATAATACTGAAAACTCATTTATTTTGCACACTGAAGGAACCATAATATTCAACTGATGACATAATTATTATTTTTAACTTGCAACTGCATTCCATCTTATTTTGTGTGTAATTATAGTGTTCTTCCTATATTCTACTTGTATAATGTATATGTTTTGTAGTTTGGGAGTTTGGGAGTGACTTCCCACAAAATGCTATTGCATTTCAAATGATTTTGAATTTATCCTGATATTATGTATATATGTATTTGTAGCTTACGAGGGACCTATGGAAGATTAGTTTTTTTTTGCAAACTAAATACGTTGAATCATTAAATAAAGTTTTTATTATTATTATTGAAATTTAGTCTTACCAAAAAGAACAGTGGCCCAAAAATTATTAATATCATCAATTGTAACTTGTTTTATATAGATTTCATGGGCTCATCTTTTTCTGTCAGTCCCCTACAAGAGACCAACTTGCTTCTGTCTATCAACACATGATCAAGATGGCAACTTACCAAGGATGCTATTTCGCCTGTATATTCTGGACATGTCATAGCCATTTTCAAAATATTGGACCAGGAATATGAACTTACAATGTTGTTTTATTTAATAGTAAAAATAAATATCTAAAGAACACCCTTTCTCTTTTTGTTAATTTAAGGAAAATGTCTACTATAATTCTAGGGCATTAAGGCTTTAATGAATATGAATTTTGTTATTAAAAACATTTTGTCATTATAATCTTTGAATGGCATTTTGTCATTATGTTGGGCATGAATATAGAAACCACCATGTTTGCCCAGATACCTAACATAGGGTATGTATGTTAAATAGCTTTATGCAAGACAGCTAATAATATCTTTATATCCAAAAAATATTTGAAGCTCTAAAGGGCTAAGATTTTCAGATCTAATACATATATTGTCTGATGTATCCTTAGAATTGAATTAATATTATTTCCCCACACCACCACCTGATCGCATTCCCACCCAATATCCCCACAAGTTAAAAATGTTATTGAAATCACTTGACAAGTACAGCTGTCTAGTCATTCGAATGGGATGAAAAACAGAGGTCTCATATGTACACATTGGCAGGCACGTAAAAGATCCCTTGACAGTTGGAATTCGATATAAGAATAGGCTGTAGTGGCGCTGTCCGGGCAAAATTTCCCTCATAGCACACTGTATGGCATATGCCTGTCTTCATTAGCCCAACTCGGAGCAGAACAGTAGGACGTTAAACCCCATTTCATTTCATGTTATTGAAATCTCTAAAAACTCGAAGTCAATACACAGTAAAAAAAAACAAAACATTCTTTTAATAGTAGATATATTATCATCAATAGTTAAAATTACAGGAGAAAAAACAGTCTTATATTTTAACAAGTATCAAGTTTATGTTTCTTAATACATTTTAAAACCATTTTACTATATATTCCAAGTAACTTCAACTAAAATAAGCTCATAATAGAATTAGAAGTAGACCGTATAAATATTACATAGAAACATGAAATATTGAAATGAATAATAGTCAGCATTGAGGTAATTAACCAGATGTTAACATAAAGATACTATGTTAACTACAAGGACAATATTTAAACATATTGTATAAAGTTGTAACAAAAACAAAATAACAGAATGATTTATAAATAAATTAAATGATATGAATTTATTGCTCTGCTTCAGCTGTGAAAAAAAAAATGACAGATCTGCACAATCTGTTACAAAATATCAAGTTTTTACATGAATTTAGCAGTTAAAATCAAAGGCTTTAGTAAACCAGTTAAAAACTTTAATATCTCATATCCATTCATATTGCATTATGATTTTTGTAGCAACAAACAGAAATATCACAAATGTTGCAGTAATCCTATCTTAGTGTAAAACTGACAAGAGAAAACTTTCAAGATCAAGATGGTCAGATTAGAATTCATATGTACACACACCACTTTCTGTTATTTTAACTTCTTTTACAGGTCTTTCATTCATAGTCTCTTGTTCTTCAATCCTCTTCAGTGTTTCAGTACCTTCGATAACTTGACTGTAAATAGGAAATAAATATTATTTCAATAGAAGTTGATATATTCCACAAAAAATATTTCAAAGAGAGCAAGCTGGACCCAAAAAAATCAACCTTGAATCTCCAGATCATGAAACTGACCAAAAGAAAGAAATACCAAGGATCATCCCTCCTGCCACCATTCACTACATCTACACCCAATTTGCATAGGGGTATTCACTACCATATTTTGAAATAACAAAACTGTTAGAAATAGTACAGTAATCATTTTTTAAAGACATGTTACATGTACATAATATTTTTTCTTTTTATTTAACCCCCTTCTCCCACTAAATCCTACCTCCCTATGCAGGTATTTTGAACTTTAATTTTATAATTGGTTTGTAAATCAGCCAGATGGTATATATACTGGTACTAGAACTACTTAATATTCGTTAATGCTCCATAATCTGTTTAAAATCTTAGTTTATAAAAGATTTGAACAAATTTCCTCTGCTGAACTAGAAATTAGACACTTCTTTGTAAAGTGTCTCATAGCCTATGCTTCGGGTGAGTTTACTGTGCATATTTCCCAATACAGTTATTGGGATATGTTCTTACTTTGATTAAGTGTAGGCCTATCATTATTTAAATTTGATTGACATCTGTTCCTCATCTACATATTATCTCATGAATATATCAATCAGAAATGTATCTAAAATTAGCTAATGGTCATTATGTATGTGATGTAAATATAAATCAATAGTTCTATTATTTGGTTAAAGCAATTTGTATGAAACTTTAAATCTGATCTAAATCATAATTAAGGGAATAAATGTAACAATTATCAGATAGTTAATAAACCAAACAACCCATGCAATATATACTACATGCCAATCTATTGTACTAGAGATATTCATATAATGTACCATCACAAATATTTAGGTGGATTTTTTTCTGACTTTTATTACTATTGTTCAAGACTATTTAAATAACTCTCTCAGTCAACCAGGCCATTCTTTTTATGTAACTTTGCTAAATCCTCTTTTTTGAGACAAGCTATTTTTCTATTTCCAAAACACTCTGTTTAGGCAACAATATTAATATTTTGTATGCAATGATAAATCCATAGAAAGCTATTGAAGCCCGATAGATAAGTATAAGGCATATTTTATAAGGAAGAATTTCATCCTGTATCAATGTCATACAAGATCATGGGATACATCGTTTTGATTGAAAATTGCCCACTGCAAATCGACATGCATTTTATTGTAAAGAAAATCTGATCAGTGCCATTCAGCTCTCATGGAGTGTCACATTTACCAAAAATAAACAGGTAAATCTCCACAGAACAGTACATAATTATGTATTGGTACCTACCCAAATGCTACATATTTGGTGTTCATCCAAGGTGCTGGTTGAAGTGTAATAAAGAACTGAGAACCATTGCTATGTCTTCCTTTGTTAGCCATTCCAACTATACCTCGATTTACAAACGGAATAGCAAAATTTTCGTCTATAACAAAAAATGGCAAAATAAAAGCATGTAAGAAATTCATTTTAAAAAAAAAATCGTTGTAAGCTTCAGTCCTACATTATTATGGGTGCAGGCCCATATTTCACAGAATACTGGTTGATAAAACTATTTGATGATCCTGTGAAATTTGGTAACTTATCACCAACAGTTGTACAGGACTAGGACAAATATTTCTAAGAGTCGTATTTATTATTAATGTTTATTATTAAAAGTATGGTAGAAATTATTTTCAATCAAATTTTTTACCTTCAAATACTGTTCCAAAAGCAGATTCCCCACCATTTCCTCGACTGTGATAAACATCTAAAATTAAAAATAACAAGTTTGATTTCTTTAATTATTAAACAAATCTATAATAATAATGGTATATCTTGGAGAATGGTCCATAGGTTTACAAAATGTCCTGGGACCCACACTTGTTCTGTGAGTAAGGAGATCCCTGGTTCAATCCCGGTGTTGGCTTACCAACAATCTGATTAAAACACAGATCCTATTTCATTTCGTTTTTTTTACACTAGGATCTGGAAGCGTTGTTATATTACCAGCATTTTGGTTGAAGTCAGGGATAAGCCAATGAAACAGTCTGTTACAGCATGGAACTGTGGGTAAACCATTAGAAACACCAACGCTAATTGTTTAATCGATGTCTGACGTCAAAGGGTCAAAAGTCGCTTGTACGATCCGATACGCCCTTCAAGTACAACTTGTCAGATCTTCATGTAGTGTAGGTCATCGAAAGTATAAATAAAAAACATAATGAAATATAGATTTTCCAACATGCTTTCCCCTTGTCAGTGAAGTAGGATGGAGGGTTTGGTATGGAACAGGGTCTAGTTCATGGGATGAAAATCCATTGTTCTGTTTACACATTGGCTTGTAGGTAAAAGAAACCTTGGCAGTTGGAATTTGATGAAAAGTAGATTGAAATGCTGCTGCCTGGGCAAAATTTCCCTCATAGCACACTGCCTGGTATATACCAGTCTGCAATAGCTCAGTTGGTGCAGAAAAATAGTACATTAAACCACATTTTATTTACAAAGTTTTCACAAGGAAATGTATCAACTAACTCTCATTCTGGAGAACAGTTCACATATTCCATAATAAAACTATCTCATATTCCCAGAACTATTTTTACATTAATTACAAATATTTCAAATTATTAAAATAGTATTTATTCATAAAAGCACAAATGAAATATCATTCTATTTTTGCCCAAATTTGGAATGGAGATATTGTATTTTAGGAAAGAGTTCTCTATACTTTCCTTAGCCGCCTAATCCAAATCACAAATATCACCATATAACAGAAGAAGTCAAAACATACCACCACCCTGGATCCAACCATTGGGAACTATTCTATGGAATAGAGTATTCTGGTAACATAATTTACTGTCTGTTTCAATACATGTTCCTTTATCTCCTATACACAATGATTTAAAGTTACTACAAGTTTTTGGTACAATATCTGTAAATAGCTGTAAATAGAAAAACCAGACCAAATTATTAAAAGCAATGGACTGATTTAGTGATGAAAGATTGGATATGGTTTGATTATGAATTGATGATTTTATGCTGAATGGATTTAGTTTAATCGTTTGATAATGGATGAATTCGATTAATGGTACAAGAAAATGAATGGAAAATTTGGTTTCACAATAGGGAGAGAGAAATGGGTAATATGCAAAGGAACTAGGTCATTTCGGAGTTTTAACTGGTAACTCTAGTGCTTGCCACGCACATCCACTGGATCAAACTCTTACATGGACTACAGACCTTGTGACCTACATTACATGTGTTTGTGTCACACCACTCCAACATGACCCCACAGGGAAGAAAAAATGAAATTTCCCCTAGATGTATGCAAAGTAACTAAACAAAAATATTTTCAAATTATTCTAGTGGTTATTTAAAAATTAAATTCATCACTAATCAATTACTTACTTCTATGGTAAGCCTTCCAACTGGTTCATCTCCAATAGAAACATCTAGATAAACATATTCATGCTGAAATATGCAATGTTTATTTTTAATATTATACTTACAACATTACATAAAATTTTTTAGGATTTTCTTTTAATCAGAAAAATACTTCAACAGATTGGGAAGAAAAATATTCATATATATTATAAACATACATTTCTTGAATTGAGCAAATTTTTAAAACCTTCTTCTGTGAGGGTTTCGTATAAAGGTGTTGGACGAAATTCTTGAAATTGGTAGTTTTCCTCTGCCCATGTTAAGAATTCATTTGGACCACCTATCATCTGGTTATTTACGAAAGTTATTGCTGTCTCATTAAAAGACCAAGCTTCACCTCTCAACTCCTGAAAAAAAAATAGTGTAGTAATCAGGGAAATGAAAATATTAACTCTGACATGTAATGAACATTTACAAAGTTTCAGTGACTGAAAATATGATCTATTTTATGTTCTAGTAACTGATTTGTACCTTTTTCTTATTTTCTATGAACAGATCCCATTCGAACTGTACCATTCCTCTGATAACAGGTTCGTTGAAAATGCTTGGGTTCTGTTTGAATAGATCCTAAAAATAAAAATATAACATAATATATTAAAATATAGTAAAAGTATACATCAAGATTCTGTTGGATGTAAGGACAAGATATCAGAATCAGTTCACCACCAACAATATCTATACTGTATGTGCAGTGAACAAAATGAACCCCCAGAATATCAGAATCATAATCCAATATATTATCTGAATATCTCAGATAGTCATCTTGCTGACTATCTGATACTAAATTTGAACAAATTTCTGAGCTTGTTTTCGCAAATGCTAAACATTTATTATAAGTGAAGTGTTGTAAAAGAAGATTGGTACAAATAATACCATGAGATAATCCATACTATTACAACGTTGGTATAAATTATGCATTAGTTCATAACTGATGTCTACTCAGTTGCTATTTGCAGCCCTAGGTAATGAATTGAAATGAAATGCGGTTTAACGTCCTACTGTTCTGCTCCGACTGGCCTAATGAAGACTGGCATACTCCCATATATTGTGCAATGTGAGAAATTTTGCCCAGGCAGCAGCACTATGGCCTACTCTTATACTGAATTCCAATTGCAAAGGGATCTTTTACGTGCACGCAAATGTATACATCCAAACGACTAGACAAGGGGAAACCATGTCGGAACATCCCATAATGAACTATCTCGGCCAATGCAGGGATAGAACAAGCCTAGCGAGCCAGCTTTTCACCCACTAAGCCACTAAAGCCACCGTGCCCCCCCCTCCCCCAGGTGATGAGAACATAACAGAAGCAGACATCAGGTTAAACCATTTTCACTAGATGAAACTGCCAATTTAGTTAGACTCTTAGAGGTAAGAACGATAATACATATTGAAACAGTCAACTAAAAGCTATTTTTCTTCAGATATCTTAGACCCTTCTACACTATCTATGTTGGAATGGAACATGTGTCACCTGTCAGCAAAAATTTATTAACATTGACAATGTTTAAGTCAAAACAAAAATTACCTGTGTTTACGGTTACTCGGCCCTATTTATTTGTGCCCAAATTGCTGACCCTAATCTTTTCTCTGCTGTATAAAGTTTTCACACAGCAGAGAAAAGGTTTACACCGCGAAGAAAACTTTATATTATACCGCAGACAAAAGGTTTACATAGCAGAGAAAAGGTTTACCCCGCAAAGAAAAACTTACACCGCGGAGAAACCTTTATTCTGCGAAGGAAAGGTTTACACCGCAGAGAAAAAGTTTTTCATGTTTTTTCATTTATCATAGTTTTCACTGCAATTTGTCTTTTTTAAGTTATTATGAGGTAAATTGCTAGAAAACAAAAAAAAGTATAAATCAACGTATGGTACGAAAAGGCCACCGCAGTCGGCGTAGATCATTCTTACATCATCATTACTCTTTCGATCTCTCAGTCTCATCAAAACTTTCTCATCTTATTATCATGTAGCCTAACTTTATATTATCACCTCTATACCTTTTGTTGGAAAAATAAATAAATGCCGGTACTAATTTGCAATAAATTAATAGGCCTAGTACTAGGCCTAGAAATTGACATTATGGTACACGATTCGTGTACCAATGGTAAAATGTTTATTTTGTCTTAAATATTGGATATCAAAAGCCCATCTTTTTCCGGTAATGTTGATTTAATTTGACAAATAAATCGTGTTTTCAATGTTGAAGATTTTGGATGATATTGAGTTAGCTCATAATTTTTGATAATTAATAAATAAGCCGTAGAAAGGTAGGAGATGCACTGTTGAAAATATAAATGCACGATGTAATAGAAATGTGACAATATACATACCTCTGCACAACATTTTGCTCTTACAAAGTTAATATCGTTCAATAAACCGTAAATTTCCAAATTTACTGGAACCGACTCCGCCATGATGCTAGTTTCTATGGAGATGTAAATAATCACCGAAGGGAGAACACTCTGATAATATAACAAGTGCCCGTAGTATTGATCACCCAGTCTGTAAATAAGTGTAGAGAGTCCTCCATAATGCAGGATTAATAACACCATGGAAACCGCAAAAAATACAATTCCGTATGAAACAACATTGACGTTGTTTGTTTTTGTTATGTGTGTAGCTGAGAACAAATAATTCAAATTAAAAATATTTAAGATCAATAACTGAGCTAAATCTCAGCGGCGGCCTGAGGCTATTTCAGTATTTGCCTGAAAATTTTCTTTTGTCACCCAAATTTTCAGAATGAATTGATCATTAACTAAACCGAGTTTTCTACAAGTGTTATTGCTTTTATGATATATGGTCTCATTCTCTGAGGTTTGTGCCCGAAAAATGGACGGTTCACCGAATCTGGAGGAGGGGGGTGGGGGTGATAGGGCCGAGACTGATTTACATTCCATCCTTTCTATTTTTACTGTCATTTCTAATCAGCCATGCTTGGCGAAATACACAAAGGCTCGAAATTGAATGGCAGTCTTTGGCATCTGGTTATTCCAGTCTACATCAGTAGTAATTTCCTGTGTGTGATGTGTTTAGCCTCATTTATCAAGTTGCTTCATTACAATTGGCACTAGAAAGTATTCTGGCACGATTCGTGTGCCAATTTTAAAATTTTCACTTTGCCTTAAATATTTGGGATCAGAAGCTGGTCTTTTAACGGTAAAATAACATCAATGTTGCTAAATTGACCAATATGTCGTGCTTGCAATGTCGAAGACTGTGGATGATATTGAGAGAGAGAGAGAGAGAGAAATGGGGTTTAACGTCCACTCAACACAAACTAGGTCATTTCGGGACTAACATATGGTTTTAATTTTATTTCAATAATTCGCTTGCACGTATGGGTTTTTAGCAGTGGGAGGAAACCGGAGGACCTGGAGAAAACCCACGAGGTTGGACCCAACTCCTTGTCACGTACAACCGGGGATTCAAAACACGCCAGTTGACTCAATGGCAGGCCTTATGATACAGCACGCACGTGCTAACCATTCACGTGCTAACCATTCGGCCATCCAACCCCCCTGATATTGAGTTAAAGACTCTTTAAATATTGTAGCAAAATAAAAAAATATATATATACATGTATATTTATCAGGATCAATTTTATGACAGGGTTAATTAGTTCATCACAAAATTCAATTTATTTGAAAATTTGTTTCCAATGAAGGGGAATGGAAAAATATATTGACATTCAATTTTGAAAGTAACTATTATATATTGTTATTTGATAAAACAAACCTGGTCAGGTGTTTAAGTTAAAACATTATATTTATGGTCATGAATCTTAGAAACCACCACATTTCTCAGAAGCAACATTTGTAACATTGACTTTGTTGGCTGGCAACAAAGATAACATTTCTGTACAGTAAATAACAAGCATTATTCAAGAACATTAATCTTACCTACCAAGCCTAGTGTCCATTCAGTCACATAACCTAGGTTTGTGGCAGCCAGAGGCAGCAGACTCGAGTTTGTCACCCCCAACCCCATAAACATGCTTTCTAGCAGTAAGCAGGGTTTTCCTGACAAATAAAATTGTGGAAGGCGCATTGACTGGTATCCTTCTGGTGTCCCAACAGAAAAACAACTTATTTCATGTGCCTTAAGAGTCTTTAGACCCAAGTTGCCACCCCCTTTCCAAACAGGATCTGCATGCCAATGTATGTTAATTAAATATGTATACCACTTGACTGAAGGTATTACTGGAGGAAAATAAGCTATTTCCTACTAAGTTTAAGTGCCTCTGATTACAGCGTGCAAAGAAATGTTCCATCTCAGTTCGGATGAAACAAAGTTATCTAAGACAGAAAACAAAAACATCATCAGGATTGAAAGATAATTTATTTGATTTTCTTCAAATTGCTCTGTCAGATCAGAAAATAAACCTTTTGAATCATCAAAAAAAATATCATTTGGCTATTTTAACAATTACCATTTAGATATATCTTCATAAAATGCATATCAAAGAAAAATATAACATTGGCATTTAAACAGTAAAGAATCATTTAGGAAGTTTCATTCATAGCTACCATAATAAACAATATAATCTATATGTACATAATTTATTGTTACCTAGCTCTTCATAGAAATAAGATATTGTAAATTAATACATTTTAAATCACATCAATAGAAATTAAAGTTAATACCAGAATATGTAATAAAATTAAAGGGACATTTTATTGAATGAACTGTTTGATTGAACTTTATGAAATAACCATCAATATTCATTGTAAAAGAACTAATTTAATGTGATTCTTGACTTGAACTAACAAATACATAATCACACTGTTAAAATGAAATAATGTGTTATTTTTCAACAAAATGTCCCTTCAATATCCACTAGAAGTGTCTGGATGCATTGGTTCATCTTATAGTTTTATCCAGCATCCACTAGAAGTGTCTGGATGCATTGGTTCATCTTATAGTTTTATCCAGCAAACAGGCTGATCTTAAGTTCCCATTTCTCACCCGTGGAATGCTCTTTATTTTCTCAATACTGAATGTGAGTTATAGGAATGAACACTTGTAGATGACTTAAATAAATGATGTACAATTGTACATTTCTATAAATACAATAAATAAAAGAAATATCTTATCTGTTTTAACTGATGTGTAATAATTATTAACTTAAAGTAAGAATATATTAAATATATCATTACAAAAATGATTTTTTCCTCTATTAAATAAATCTTAACGCAAGCATTTCATTCCATAAAAATTAACTACTATATACAATTAACTCATCAAAAACAAAAAAGAGTTTTGACTGATCTGACAAGGCAATATCACTTATAAACCCACACCAACAAGTACAGTCAGAAAAACTTAATTAAACTGCATCATTTAGTGATAAGAAATGATGTTGAGCATGTAAAACAATGAAAGGGGTGTTTACAAGATTGAAACTTTTTAATGTATAATAAATTATTTCATAATTTAAAACCTATATAACCTCTTTTTTTAAATATTGCAATAAGAGTGACTCTAGATAACTATCTTAATTGAATAGACATACACTACTTTAAAATAATAGGTCTAGTATATCTTTAAATTCAACAAGTTATAATATTATAAGACACAGCTATTGAAGTTGATAAATATAAACCGTCGTTGATTACGATATGCTACAGAAAGTGCATTAAATGCTAACTGTAACAAATGACTTGTTTAAGTAGAATTATAATTTTCAGCCAAATATACATAAAATAGCTGATGAATTAAAATAGTATTCAATACATTAAGATCAACTTACAGCAATTACTCAAGACAAGGTTATATTTTAAAGAGAAGAAAACAAATGTGCATGTTTAATGAGGTTTCCTGAGTGTACTGTAAAAAGATTCATACAAAATAGTCCAGAGTCTTTATTTCTTTAAAAATTGATTAAATATCCTAACTTCCACTTGTGTTAATTCAGCAGGGCAGTAGTAAAGTCATGCTGTAATAGACTGCAGCTTTATCGCTTGTAACCAAATTCTTTGGCATCATCTTCAGTGAAATCACCATAACGCCATAAATTACGCTGTAAAATAAGTATGAAATAATAATCTCTGAATTATAAGATTTCAATGAAAGAATTTGTATAGAGCAACAGGTTAATGAATAATTACCACATTTTATCTAGACTTTAAACATGAACTTTGTATAATTTTTTAATGAAGTTCCCAAAATCATAATATGAATGATTATATATTTTCAACAAGTAATCGTACATGAATAAATAAAATACACTCATCTGATATAAGACTCATTATTACTTACTCGCTCAGATTTGGCCTTTTCTTGAGCCTTGGTGTAATCTCCCACCATCTTAGCTAGCCGCCTTTCTCTTCTCCTTTCAGCAAGAAGATAACCTTGTGATATCAATGATTGTGCCACATCATCTTTAGTATCAGGATACTGTAATGATGCATGTTCTGGCATACCTGGTAATTTATACTCCACGTTTAACGAGAACTGTTTATTGACTATTTCGTTAAACAAAGCATCTTCTGCATCTCTTTTGGCATCAGGCTAAAATATAACAATAGAAAGATTACCGTAAGATTACCATTCCAAAGAATATAATCATTATTTGATTCTTGGATTTGAGAACAGAAGATATTCTGAGTTGATGCACATTAATGGTATAAGTGCTTGAAGATATTTGAAATGGTAACAACATACAGCTAGACAGAAGAATTGGTCATTAAATTCTAAGTTGATCTATGTATTATCTATAGTACTTACATCAGATGGTAAAGCTATACAAGCCAGTGAATATTCTACTGCTTGAGCTGGTAATGTCTGATAACTAGATGGTAAAGTCGCCACTTCAGATGTTGATGTAACTTCTTTCTGTTAATACAAATATATTCAATTATTATAGCAAATTCAGGTAGGCAATACATTCGTTTGCAATTATTACAATCATGGCATCATATCACAATACTGGATGACACTAAAGTAACAAATACCGGCATACTTTTACTCAATTTTGTGTCTTGTTTTGTTTATGCATGTGCCCTTTGGTCGCGTGTTTTGTTTTTGTTTAGGAATGTTGCTTTGTTAAGGTGCATGTGCTTTGGTTTTGGTTGGTTGATTTTTTTATGTTAGAAAGTACAACAACACATAATAAATAAAACAGCACTCTCTATATTCATTATATATCTAATTTCATTAGTTCATATATTAAATATAACTTACATTTCCATAATCTATAAATTTAACAGTTACTGTAACTCCATCTACTCTTAAAACTTTTGCTCTGTACCTGAAAGAACATCATTAATAATTAAAAATAATATTCAAATTAGTACCAGTTTGAATTAATCAAGATGAAGTGACCCAAGTGCATACATGCCAACCTGAGGAGATTGAAAATCAGAATGCCTTGTATTGAGGGTAGAGCGCGGACCGCAGGTCCAAGTTCGATCGGTGCAAAGCACCGTGACTGCTGGAGGCGCCGCAGCACCTTTTTAAAGCAGTACCTTGTATTATTGGATAAAAACAGCTGGTGATTTGGGTCCATGCATCTGAGGTTTTTTTACCTATTTATATACGAAAGACTAAACAAAATGCGAATTCGTCGCCTCTACGCGAGGACGTAATGGTTCCTGGAAATTCTTTGCCGTAAGTTTCCCGGTATTTTTGTCTGACATTTGTTTTGGAAGCCATTTTGTTTGTCTTGACGACCGACACGGAAGTAGAAGTTGTAAATTATTTATACTGGGTTTTATTTATAATTGTAATTTGGTTTTTTTTCACACATGGAAAACAGCTTGAAAACATTTTTTATCAAGTCAGAAGGAAATATGGCTAAGAAAGAAGCAACAACGTAACTGGCAACTAACGGTAAACCCGCCGTGTACTGTCCGAGTGTGTGTATGCGAGAATGGCTCCGCGTAGCAAATAATATCCGCGAAGCAAATAATATCCGCGAAGTATGCAAATTAGGCACGGCCTATGACAAAATAACCACATGACATTTTAATCTCGATTAGTCCAGACATATTAGCTTATTCCATTTTATATTAATAATAATCGAGAAAACTGGAGACATGTTTTCGGCTATTTCCGTCGTTTTACCGCGAATTATGCAAATTAGACACGGCAAATGACGGAAATAACCACATGACATTTTGATCTTGATTAGTCCAGACATAATAGCTTATTCCATTTTATATTAATAATAAGGAAAACATGACACATGTTCTCGACTATTTTCGTTGTTTTACCGACTCATACTACGACAAACAGTATCGCCATCAGATTCACAACAAACAGCGAGAATGCCGAGACAGTCGTCAATGTAAAAATAAAACGAGAGGGATTTTATCAATCAAAAAGGTCAGGCATGAAATATAATAAATTTCTTCCAATAAATTTTAAAAAATGGAATTATAAAGAGTAAAATCGGAATTCAGAATTAGACTCAGAAAATCGGAATGATTCCGACAAAATCGGAATAGTTGGCATGTATGCAAGTGGCTATTTATTTATAAAGCCCCCCCAAAAACTGCAAATTAAATTGTTTTGGCCTGATTATTAGAAATCTGTCTCGTGTTGTTAAAATTGCAAAAAGTCATTTCCAGCATTCATGGTCTTGCATTAATTAAAACAGGTAACAGTGATTTCATGACATTCATTTTTATACAATATACTGACGGGATATTCATTTAACATACCATTGTCCGTCAGCTGAGAATTTAGCTGCGCACAAATCACCAGTCTTAGGTTTATAGGCCCCGGGAAGAGGAGGGTTAGCTTCCATATCTTGACGTAGTTGTTCCATCATTTTTTCTAACTGTGGTCCTGCAAAAAAAATAAATATTAGACATGTATTTACAATTCATTAAAGTTCATAATAAACGTCCGTTCAAGTGTGTTTCTCAGATTGTCCAAATGATTCCAATTATCCAAAGCATCAATCAGAATTATACCAACAAAATTCTAATACCCCAAAACATACTATACCCTCTATACACTTAATATAATAACACCCATGTTCCATTAAACATATTCAGGTTGTTGTTTTAATACTATTAGAGTACTTGATTTTAATTCAAATTAGACCTTTTTTTTTAAAATGTTATTTACAGTTACACCACAGTAAGTTCTAAGAATATCTGTATGAAGTCTGTATTCGAATGACTAAACTTGACCCTCATTTAGTCAATGAATTGAAAACATACCTTCCATCGGTCTTAATGATTGTATTCAATCATACTGGCTCAAGTTATGCTTTAAAAGTAACTGATAACTGACAAATAAGTGGTTAGATCTATTTAGAATAGTCTAACAATATATCCAAGTCAGAAAAAATTAAACATCTAATTTTGATAGAGAGGGAGAGAGAAATGGGGATTAACGTCTACTCGACACAAACTAGGTCATTTCGGGGCTAACATATGCTTTAATTTTATTTCAATAATTTGCTTGCACGTAGGGGTCTTTAGCAGTGGGAGGAAACCAGGGGACCCGGAGAAAACCCACGAGGTTGGACAGGCGACCCTACTCTTTGTCACGTACAACCGGGGATTCGAAAGCACGCCAGTTGACTAAATGACAGGCCTTATGATACAGCACGCAAGCATTAACCATTCGGCCACCCAATCCCCCCCCCCTAATTTTGATAAGATTGCGAGTACTTCTGAGTTTCATCTGCTGTGAAATGACAGTAATTATCAAGTGTTGATCAAGTTATTGTTCCTTCATGCTACAGATAAATGGAAGTTGCATTTTTAAAGGTTCATTCATACTAACATGGTAATTCTATAAAATCTGTGAGCCTTACCATTATCAACATTCTGTACATAGAAAGTGAGAGCCTCAGTAACTTCTGTTACTATAACTGTTTTGTAACTAATTTTTCTATCTGTTGGTTCTTCTTTAATTTCTTCTTCCTTTGGTTCTTCGTAATTTGACCAGATCTAGATGAAATTTAGTACAATTTTAACAACATTTAAAGAAACTAGAAATTTTTTTTTTATATTTGGTCCTCCCTCTGTTTCATAACTAAGTGTAATTGATTGAATTTATTTATCACTATTCACTAAAATATAACAGAAAATAAAATATTGCTTAAAAAATGCAAAAGATCATCAGCAATTTTAATTCAAGTTTCTGTCATCTTTATCTATATGTTTGAATATAGAAATAGGGAGATCAACAGCAGGGCTGTCGGTAATTTTTCACAGATGATTAGCAGCACTGCTAATCAAAAAGTCCAATTTTGCCATATTTGATTAGCAAATTTAAAAATTGATTAGCACTTTTTCAGTTTCAAATCAACTTAAAACACCTAAATAACAAGATTATTTTAATTTTAATTGATAGCAAATGATTAGATTTCATTCTTAAGATTTTTTTAGAATGTTAGCACTTCTACAGCTAGCTGTGAACATTTCTGAATGAATGTAGACTTTTGTTAGGCCTTATGTCTGAAGCCAATTCTTGGCAGTGGCTTCTTATTTCTTCGTTAGAAAACAATTTCGTCTGCTTTTTATCGTGTGTTATTATTTTTGTTCAATCGGAAGCACGCGGTATTTTACGAATAATCTCGATTAACTAGACGCACGCGATATAAACAATTATAGTGTACGGGAATTCTTACTTTGATTTCTCACTTTACAATACGTTTACACGTATTTATTTTTTATATTTTATTTACAATACGTGGGGGATACACTGAATTTATTTTTTTTCAAATTGAATACTGATATAATTACTCGAAATTGACATGTCTCGCAACGTGAGTGGTACTACTTGATTCCCTATTTCCGGTTTAATAGTTATGTCCCTGTATTATATAGTATCATGAATTGAGTCTGGGTAGTTCGAGAAGAAAATGTCACACGGAGAATTCCGTTTTGTTTATAAAATTTATTTGATATTTTATACGTGTTGAAAGTGTTGAGAAATGTGGATAAATCTTTGTGTCAATATCCAAAATGACAGGCATATTATTGATTCGCAGTTACTGCGAATCAAAAACGTTAAATTTTAATTTTTGATTAGCATCGGACAAAATATGTATCGCAAATTGCGCTGCGATACTGGTTGTCGGCAGCCCTGATCAACAGGTATATACATTTGACATTCATTTATTCCTTTACTTACATTAAGTTTTTCTTTTTTGGCTTTGTCTTCAGCTGCCTGCAATACTTTATAATAATTACTTCTTTCTGCTGAGAAATGTACTTTAGCAAGACCAGCTTCAACTAAACTGACTGACAGATTAATATCATCAACAAATAACCAACCTATAAAATTACCTCCCTTATCTATCGTTTCTACTTCCACGTTTACCTGAAAATATAAACAAACATTTAACACTTTAAAACTCATCAATTTATAAAAGAAAACCAATCACCTCATTCATTATGGTCAAAAAATATTAACCCATCCAAAGTCAGTCAGCTACTGAAAAAAAACTATTTCTGAACATCGCTGTCAAGGTTTTATTTAATAGTTTAGATTACTATTTAAAGAAGACATTTGTTTCAGGTCGTATTTTCTTTAAGTTAAAGAAGGAAATGGCTATTGACAATCTGGTGGCATTTATGCTAACAGTTTGGTCATTTTGAGACTAAAATTCTCTTTTCTTGGGTAAAAAGTGCAATATGTGGACTTCCAAAATAAATGGTAAGTGGTATTTGATGTTCTCAAATCTTTTACATTTTCATTCACTTACTTCACGTTGAAGACATAGTTCTTTAGTAAATGCTAGAGCCTCTTCACCAAAAGGATCAGCAGGTACTGTTACTCCACCCTGTGGTCGAGCTCCTCTTGGACAATCAATGCCTAAAATGAAGTTAAAATCATAGTCATTTTTAAAATTTCTGATATATCTAAAGTCAAGTGAAAAGAAATGAAATGGTGTTTAAAAACCTCCCACTTTTTTTGCACCAACCAGGCTAATGAAGATAGGTATATGAAATGCAGTGGCCTGTGAGGGAAATTTTGCATGTATCTCTGCATAATCTTTGTCAAATTCTAACTGCCCAGGGTTTTTTTCCTTATATACATGCCAACATGTTCACGTGACCTCAAATTCTCATCCCATTTGAATAAAACTAATGTAATGGTACCGACAGATTCAGAACTTGTTATGAGTAAGGTATTACTGACATTTACCTGATACAAGTAATGTAATGAGACAGGTAGATTTAAAACTTACCTGATACAAGTAATGTAATGAGACAGGTAGATTTAGGTAGATATAAACGTAACCTAGAACCACTAGCAATAAATTCAACCAAGCCTTCTGTTTTACCAGCCCGTTGTAATGAAGGAAGAAACTGCTTTGATTTCATTACATCCTGAAATAATTATAGTATTCATAGAATCAGAACATATGTATATCTAACAAATTGAATAAAGCTAACAATGAAATTAATCAAGTTATTTATTTTTCACTTCCTGGTAGCTTTATCAAGTAAAACAAACTACAGCTGATATAAGATAATGAATTGAAACATAAATAATCTGTAATAAATTGAAGATCTACTTGGCCCATGCTTTGAGTCAAACACAGGACATTCTAGTAGAGAGTATATTGACCACCACACCCCACTCTTTTAAAGCACTGATGTATACACCAAGACAAACTGTATACTTACTCCTGATAAATCTGCTACTCTATGAATTGGTGCATCTTTCTTAGCGTGTAATCCAACCATCTTTTTTTGAGCTCGAGCTTCAGCTGCTAGTAATAAATCATAGTGTGCTGATCGCTGGTCATCATCTTGTCTATATCTGATAACTGTAGCTAATCCTTTACTGATTATAGCTTCACCTACATTACTGTAACATTATAACATTCTTCAATAACTACACAGTTAAGGTTATTAATTGTCACTTGACAGATTCTGAAATGGTCCTATTCTGTTCAGCATTTTACACAGATATCATGAATTGTTCATTTGCGCAACATATATCATTCACTACCAAAGATATAAACAAGCCAGTGATGGCTTTCTTTTTAATCTGATTGAATCCAATACCAGATATTATATATTTAGGTTTTTGCTTTCTTAATTTAAATCTTAAATAATCAATCTGAGTACATTTTAATGTTGATTAAGTTGTGAAATATTAGATATCGTCCGAAAAAATGCAAGAGCAGGAACATAGACTTTTATTAGACTGTGTACAAAATTTAGGATAAATCAGCCAATCCATTTCTAACATCTTAAATCACACTATACATTGATGAAACTCAACAAATGTTCATACAAAATATGTTAGTGCTTTGAATTTCAATAATTAAGGATTATTCTGGGGTTAATTCTGAATATATTATACAAAAATTATAACAACAAAATGTCATGTTTTAGAAATAAGCATGAGTAATTATATTTATAAATTATAAAATGTGTAAGTTTATTTCATATTTACTTACATTCCACCAATGGTAACGGTACAACATGTCTTTTCAGGAAAGCCTTGATTAGCTGGCTGTACATAATCTACTTCAACATTTACCTAAATAAAAGTAATATATATTTAAGAATTGAAATGAGGTGATGTGTCTCAATATAGATGGTTATTTTGTTTAAATCAACAATGGGTAATAGGTACAATCTGAGAAGGATAGCATTGTTTGCACCTACAGGCTGTTCCAGAAATAGATGTCACAGTTACTCCCAGCGAGAGCACTGCCTTTATCTTACTATTGGTGGTTATATCATTTGTAACTTGGCCTACACAATATGTGTATTGACAGTTGTGCGATGTGTTGTCTTCCTGAACTTATTATAGATGTGTACAATCTCTCAAGCTCATGATAAAACAATGGGATAAGCAAAACTCCTCTCTCAGGTGAAAAACTGAATATTATACCTTTTTGCCTGTAAGTTTTTTTCTTAAGAATTCCCTCGCTTCAAAAAGATATGGTACGTCATATAATGGTCGAGATCTTTGCTTTGGATCTTTATTTTCATTGTCTTGGTTTTGTGCTCTGAAAAAGAAATGAAATAAACATAAGAACATGAACTCAAAATTAGAAATAAAATATTCATAAAAAGAAATTTTTTGATCACAGAAACCCAATACATTACATGTCAAGAGTTTTGCATATTTTATAATGATTGAAATTTAACATTTTAAGACTAACATATGGTAATTATTAATTTCTATGATTAAATAGGAAATATGAGGTAGAAGAATTCTCCTGTCAAAAGACAAAACCTAGTAACTCACTTTTTTATCAAAATTGAGTTAGGACCAAATTTGTAAGCAGTTACACCCATGACACAACCTAGCAACTTCCTTCATTTGCCTAGTATACCACAGCAAAACCTAGTGACTCAATAGTCAAATCAATGGATGAGCCGGGGTTTAATATTCATTCATTACGTTTTCCTTTGTTTTCTCAAAATAAGAAAAAAGTGAGTTACTAGGTTTTGCCTTTTGACGGGAGAAATGAAATACGTATGATTTAACATCATCACACATTTTTTAAAACCCTAACCATGTGATATCAAACAATATGTAGATTATGATTCAACATCATCACATGATTTTTTTGTACCCAAACCATGTGAAAACGAATACAAAAGGAGTTCTAAAACAAAAGAATATATAAATAAACTTATTGCATAAGTCAAGAAGTTTTTATATGGCGTATACAGACCCGTAGCTAGCCAAATAATGTTGGGTGTGTGTGTGTGTGTGTTTGGACCAAACAGCGATGTTTCTGTCGACTCAATTTCCAACTGTCAAGGGTTCTTTTCTGCCCATGCCAACATGTTCATGGGTGGACCTCATTTGTTTGTTCCATCCTAATGACTAAGCACACCTTTCTTGTCATCCACACAAGTACCACCCCTTGAGAGCTGCTATAGGTTCTTCTTGTAAGACATGGGGATCCAACACCGGGACATGCAGACCCCAATGATATAAGAAATAGCTATACTACCTACCGTGGTGGTTTAATGCTGGATAAGAAGATTTTCTTATAACCACTGTCTAATTTTATTAACATGCTATCACCTCCAACTACTTCTACTACCTATAAAATAATAAAAGAAAAGACCTTAGAATTTCTATTTTATGTTTGTGTGTTCTATTGTGATCAAAATGTTCTATCATATTATTTTATTATCAGGGAAGCTGTCTTCACTGCATGCATTATACACAGCTGCAATATGTGGCAATAATCTTTTAATATAAGAAACTGTACCTTTCCAGAGAAAGACTTTTCTTTTAAATTCAGACTACTGGTAGATGGGGTATAATCTTTCCAAATTCGAGCTTTCTTTTCTTTAGCAACCCTATATAGAAATTGATAATAAAGAATACTAGCATCTCTTCACCAATAAATGTAGTAATAATTTTTATGCAAACAATAAATCTTGCTTTTCTTCATAAAATAATATATTAAAATGCATTTTTAAAAAGTAGTTCTTAGCAGCCTATTTTGAATTTATGACATAGCACCAATATTTAAGAAAATAAATTACTTTTCTGCTGTTCTTAGTTTTTCTGCTCCACATGTAACAACACCCATACTCCAATCAACACATCTCGCAAAACCCTCTCTCAATAATACTTCAGCTATATTACCATTCTATAAAAATACATTTTAAAAGATAAAGTTAACAAAGACAAAAAGAAATACTTTTTATTTTTATCCAATAATCATTTATGTGTACACAAATGTACACACCAGAGAGAGAGAGAGAAATGGCGTTTAACGTCCACGCGACACAAACTAGGTCATTTCGGGACTAACATATGGTTTTTAATTTAATTTCAAGAATTCGCTTGCGCGTAGGGGTCTTTAGCAGTGGGAGGAAACCGGAGGACCCGGAGAAAACCCACGAGGTTGGACAGGCGACCATACTCCTTGTCACATACAACCGGGGATTCGAAACCACGCCAGTTGACTCAATGACAGGCTTTATGATACAGCACACACATGCTAACCATTCGGCCATCCAACCCCCCCTGCACACACCAAATGTTAACAACATGAACATAGTCCACTTACTGGATGAACAACAGTACCAAGTAAATTTTGATTAGAAACACCCTCTAATATAATCTGAATATCTCTCTGTAACAAACGGGATTCTGTGTAAAATCTAGCCTCTTCAGCAAATGGTTCTATTATTTGTTTTCCTTCAGAATCTTGTCTAAACATAGGACACTGTAATTAAAAAGTTAAAAGTATTCAATACAGCATATTGTTTCTAGTTTAAGTGATAGCAAATCACCATGTTCATTGTCAGAGAAAGAGGTTGGCAAATTCTTATGAACAGCTTGTAAAGTATACAAAAGATTTTTGGTTTTTTTTTTGCATTTTGGAATTCTTTAATCTGTTATGTCTTTCTTTATAAATCAAGTGCAAAGCATTTTAATAGGTTTTTTTTTTTTTGGGGGGGAGGGGGGGGGGTAATTTTTTCGGTGATATTTATTTTGTCAGTAACACAATTATATTACTATGTTGGGGCTTTGTAATGGTATCAATATGTCATATCTAAAATCCATCATAATTAAGTTTTTGCATCACATCCCTTTAAACTATGTCAAAGAACAATATCGCTAATATTTATGATAAAAATAATAAATTTCATTAAAAAAAAATTTCAACAGTAAACCAATTACCTTGATGCCAGATAACATCACTGTGACATATTCAAATGTTGGAAGTAAAAATGCTCTAACAGTACATCCATCTCTTACATGTTCAATCACAGCTAAAACAGAACACATATGTGATGGGATCATTTTTAAATATAGGGTTTAGCCTGGTGTACATACACAGAACAGGGTTTCCCAATCTGGGATCCATAGATCCATTAACATGAACTATTTTTTAGAGGTGAGCCAAGTTGAAGCAGTTCAAAGGGTATATTGTGTGGGTGAAAAAAAAAAGAGAGTAGAATTCAGTATGAAATTGTTGGTATTCGGAGAATGAATTTCAGTCAAATTATTTGGAATGGTGATCATCTTGCAATGAGTTGATGTACATGTACCATAACGGTACATGTTAGGGTTTAGTATAGATTTATGTGAAAAGTGTTGTCATGCATCATTAAGTCCAAATGCCCCAAACATGGAAAATCTGACAGAACAGAACAACTGGAAAAGGCAGATGTCCCAACGGGTCTGCGAGTGGAAAAAATTGGGAATTGACATAGAATAAAGTTCAAATGAAATCTTGACGATTTTAATCATTAGAAATTATAAAATCAGGGCATTGTTGGCTGATCTGACTACTTTTTTAGGCAGCCCTTTTTTCACAAAGATGATACCAGAAATGGAAAATCTCTTTGAATAAACAATGGTGTGATGGGCACTAACCCTAACCCATAATCCACATACAAACCCAAGACTGAAAGGGGGAAAATGGAGAGCCTTCACGCGAAGGAGGGCCGGCGGGTTAGTTAGGATTTGAAAGGGGTTAAAAGAGAATGGATAAAAGAGAAGAAAAACAGAAATGAAAAGATGAATAAAAAAGTAGTCAGATCAACCAACAGTGCCAAAATCAGATTGGATAATGTTTAAAATATGCAATGAAAAAATAAAATTTACCATCAATAGGCTTATTGTGATGTGAGTCCACAAAGTGTCTGGGGTTTTCTATCACCCATTTGATATCTCGTACATGTTCTGAATCTTTGCTATCTCCAAATTTTCCTTTCTTAGACTGGGTTGCTGCCTCCTCTAATTGAATAAGTCTTTGCTGCGCTGGGCTACAAATAATAAATCAATCAGATTTTACTCAATGTCACGTACAAGGCTGGGATCCAAACCATGTTGTCTGACACAATGATAAACCATGATATATAATGTGCATGCAATAGGCCACTTGTCTAGACACCCTCCTTGCTCTTTATGTAATAAGCTTACTTATTTCTAGAACACTGCCATACAGATGAATTTGCTTGGGGTTGTTCTTTTTAAATGAACAATCAGAAACTTTCTGGTTATTCAAACTATCAAAATAAACTATTTCATTACTGTATTTATTTTGATGTCGAAGAGATCAAGAATACACAGAATCACCAGCTGTCACTTAGGGACCATGTAAAGGAAAAATATTTTAATATCTTACTCATCCGATTTCAATCCCATTTTTCTAACTTCAACAAATCCTTCCATGATCATGGCTTCTGTAAGATTTTCACCAGATGTGTCTGAAAAGGAATTTTTTTACAATTATTAACCAAATAATGTGAACAACTCAGAAGTGTGCTGACACAGATAACCAGCTGACAGATCAAGCTGTAAAGAAAACATAAATTTTTAAAATTTACTTTAACAATTCCGAATAACTTTGCAAGATACATGTAACCAAGTAATTCTTTTCATTATTTATACTTTGGTTCTTCAAACACAAAGGAATAGGATCAAGCTTCTAGGTCATGAATACCTCATATTATATTCATTAAATAAACCAATATACAAGAATGAACCTTGTTTAATTATCAACTAACAGTATACACAGCCCTTCAAGTACATCTAAAGAACTGGGATACATTAATAGACCTACCTTTTCCCAAATACACACATCCATATTCTCGACCAGTTCCTGGTGCTTTATATTCCACAGTAAATGCTACTTCTTTTCCAATTACTTTCTTCCTTAGGAATTCTCTTGCCTCCCAGGCCCATGGCTAAAAAAGGCATTTGTTAAGAAGAATAATTATATTCAAAAATATTCTATGTACAATATTTGTTATAAGAAGTAAATGAATTGCAATGTAGTGTTCCGGAGTAGAACAAGAATTTACCTCCCACCCTAAGAAATCAGTGTCAAACAAAATTCAAGTTTGTAATTTTCTGGTATATAAATTATAAAATATAATTTTACTTCATTGGGAGGGACAATACACATTGTATGTTGGAATAGCTTACCTCATCTTTCGTTTCTGAACCTTCAACATTAGGATTAGCTCTCCTTGCCAATTTAGGGGCTTGAATATTTGAAAAACAAATTGTTCTCTCTGGTGGTGGTCCACCTTTTGGTTGTCCTCTGATTACTAAGGCATCTCCAGAGAGGACCTGAAATATAAAACACAAGGTAAATGTTGAACAATGTTTGCTAAATTTTGTATAAGAAAGATTTTCAAAGTCAATACACAACAAAAAATTGCTGTTAAGACAAATGAGATGTGGCAGTCAAACTCATCGATCAAATGCAAAAAAACAGAGGGTAAGTCGATAGAGGACGTCCTATATGGGACGTCTGACACACTACTGTTATCTTTAAAAACATCCGAGTAATCAGCGCAAGTTGACAATCTGTGCACAAGTTTGATACAAGCAGATGTAACACTATCTTAGTATAACAGAGATCAGTTTCGTAAATATATGCTTTATTTACATAGGAACAGAATATAACATTACTACATCAATACTACAGATACTAGACTATACTGGAAATAAACTACATCGGAACACATATAACTATGTTAAATCGTAACTGTCAGTAGACTCCTGATTATATACCTTCGGACACATGGTCATACATGCAATTGTCTTTTTATCTCATCACAGCATGCTTACTGACCAGAACGTATATCCTTTGAAGTAAAGCGGAACATGTTCACAGATCATATGTAGTTTGTAAATGACATATGGGATTAATTACATGTTTAATTAGAACATCGCCAGTCCGTGCCTTAAGAGAAGTTTATACAGAGTTAAAAAGTCAATATCATATATTATCAGCTGAGGCCATAAAGTTCTACGCACCTAAATGACCGTTCAATTTGATGAAAGTTAAAGAGTACTTTGTTACAAAGATTACAAACTGCACAGACTGAGTAACTTTGCACAACACGGCAGCACAAATTGCAATCTGTCCAAGGAGTGAAGAATGCGCCCAACATAAACAAGGGAATATCATTTATAATATTTCAGATCCCCAAGGAAAAAATCACTGTAATTTTTTTTTTTTTTTTTTAAATCTTTAAGAATTCAACATATAGTATAACCAAAACAGATTTCGGATATCCGACGAGGTGACACACACACATTGAATTTGTCCAATTTGACTTATAACAAAACTAACAATACTTTAAAATTTTGCTTTAAATAACATGATGATCATGATCATCAGTAAAGAAAAGATCAGCGTTATTTATTGCCTAAATGACCTATATTCTGATTTCATTTTATTATAATTGTTACTTTAATTTATTCAATTATGTTCACAGAGTAACTGATCCTTATTTCCATCAAATATTCGTTATAGAACATAGTTTTTAATATCAAAATAACTATCCATATGGCAAAGATCCCGTTTGTTTACACAGTTATACATATGATGACATGACATGTGTTTAGAGTTGGAAGTTTAAAAGCCCACGTGAAAATATAACAGAAACAGGCTTAATTTTCTAATAAAGATAACATCTAACATCAGATAAATGTGGACATTGTGAGAAAATATATCACCTGTTTAACAATTCCACGCTGAATTGTAGCGGGTTGTTGTGGTGGGGCTGCTGCACTCATGACGGCGTATACCCAAAAGAGAGGTAGGTGAAAAGGAAGGAAGTGGGTTTTACGAGCTGTGCAGTCACGTGATCTACTAGTTGGCTGTTTTATGTGGCAAATTGCATAATTAATTGAACAATAAAACGTTTGACAGCTTTATTCAGGACCAATTAAAGGGTGTGGATTCCAACAAAGATATTAATTGTCGTTTTTTGGGAGTAGAAAGGTGAAAACGCTGCAGTCACGTTGATGATGTGGCGTCTACCATGTTACTGCCCCACAGTAAATACCCGATGTAAAACTAAATACTAAATATGACACAGGCCTTAAAAGATGTATTTCTACAATAATTGAGTGAATTTGTACATAAGGAATTTTATATCTCTTCTATATTAAAAACTGTCATTTAATAAAAAAAAAAAAACGTCAGGAACGGGGTAAATCATGGTAACAAGATGGCGCCCGGCCAAACTCAAACTCAGCAGAGAGGTTATATTTTATTTCAATTATGCTGTTGTCGTTGGGATTTTATTTATTTATATTCAAGATAATGAAACCTGACAACATTTCAGTTCTAAGTTTTGGAAAATATTTCGTAACTATATACTATTGTTTTTGAAAATGCTGGGTTTATGGTGTTGTTTACATTTTGTTCGTGACAGGACATGTCCATCTTTAATATGTAGGCCGAACAGGCATTGCCTGAGTAGAGCGAAGCTGATTATTGTCAAATATAAAACCTTCATAATTAATTTTCTCAAGTGATACAAAAAATGTTAAATAATTTTTTTTTTCCAAATTGATTTTCAATTAGATCTAAATTGTATACATTAATTTTGTTTTTTAAAAAAGAACAAAAAAGTGTGAGAATTATTTTCATTGACGTCAAAAATATGTGACGTCAGTGATTAGACGCGTCATAGAAATAGTTCTATGAGGCGCGTAATCTCGCTTGGGCGAGATTTGGTAAGTTGACATGCGCATTGCCTGTTTTGCCCAGTGTATCTGGTTCCGGTCTGAATTTTTTTTTAATCAACAGTCTGTGGGTGACAATTTCAGTTACGCTCCTGTGTTACCGGAAAAGAGCTTTGCTCAAGCACTGCGCTTCGCGCGATGCTGTAGAGCTTCGCTCTATCTAATCATTATCAGTCCATCATCATTCCACGCCCGTGCCTTTAGGTCCCATAAGTAGGGTGCCCCACCATAAATAAATATCTACACATGAAATGAAAGGTGGCAGTTAGTAATGATAAATTGCATATGCAACCCCTAGCTTATTTCCTACTATATCCATTCCATATGCACCACCTAGCTTATTTAGTTATTACCTCCTGAGTCCTAGTCCTACTGAAGTGAAATGAAATGAAATGGGGTTTAACGTCCTACTTTTCTGCTCCTAAACTGGGCTAATGAAGACGGCCTACTGAAGTAACTATCCATCATATTAAAACAACTTCAAGACCTTCATCTTTCAGGCACACTTTCGCTCTCACGTTCCATCGCCCACCGAAATCCCAATCTATGTACGTTATTTAATTGCTCTCATCAGTCCTCCATAATCGCTGTCCAACCTGCAAATTTTATTTTCTCAAAAAGCATCAGAAATTATGGTGGCTGATTGGTATCATGTTGTGATGTCGTCCTTCACAAGGCAACAATCCGACATCACGACATTACACCATTTTCACCACAACGTTAAAAATGTTGTAATGTTGCATAAATATGTCGGGTTGTCGGCCATAATTTCTCTCAATACTATGATTATATACACTAATCCTGGTGTTTGTCAAGAAAGTTCCCCAGGATTTTGCAGCGTGGTTTCTCCCTGTCGGTAGTGCAGGACAAAGGGTATGGCAAAGTACAGTGTTTAGTTGTGTAGATGGGACAAAAAACAAGCTCCAGTGTATACATTGACCTGCACATAAAAGAATCCTTCACAGTTGAATTTTGATGAAGAAATGCCATCATAGCACTCTGCATAGCATATGCCTATCTTCAATAGCCCGATTGGTGCAGAAAGGTAGGAAAATTGAATGAAATAAAATTGTGTTTAACATCCTGCTGTTCTGCTCTGACTGAGCTAATGAAGACGGGAATACGCTATACAGTGTACTGTGAGGGAAACTTTGCCAGGATAGCGGCGCTACGGCCTACTCTTATATTGAATTCCAACTGTCAGGGGGTCTTTTACGCGCTCGCTAATATGTACACGGAACCTCGATTTTTGTCCCACCCAAAAGACTATACATTATCCCCTGCCAAGCCCTCCATCCTGTACCACTGTAAAGAAGAATCACACCGGAAAAAATTCCCAATGAGCTTTCTCATCCTACTGTTCTGCTCCGACTGGGCTAATGAAGACGGGCTTCCACCATTCAGTGTGTTATGAGGGACATTTTGCCCGGACAGCGGCGCTACAGCCTACTCTTACATCGGATTCCAATTGCCCAGGGATCTTTTACGTGCATGCCAATGTATACACGGGAGTTGATTTTTCATCCCATCCTAACAATAAAACAGCTGTCCTTGTCAGGTCCTCCTTCCTGCACCCCTGACAAGGGGAAACCACTACGGAAAATATTGGTGAACTTTCTCAAGTAACACCAAGGGCGAACCCACAGCCAGCGTCTCACTCACTTAGCCACTGTGGCTCCCGGAGCAGAACAGTTGGACGTTAAAACCCCATTTGATTTCATTTCCTACTTTTCTCTTTTCTGAACCAATCAGACTATTGAAGATAGGCATACGCTATGCAGAGTGATATGACAAAAATTTCCAATGAACCGCAGCATTTCTTCATCGAATTTCAACTGTGAAGGATTCTTTTATGTGCACGCCAAAGTGTACACAAAAGGTTGGGTTTTTTTTTGCCCTATCTACAATACTAGACACTGTTCTTTGCCTCAGCGTGTGTTATTCATGCTTACTTTCTGTTTTTCTGGAGGGGAGTCTGTGTGAAAAGTTTCAAAAGCTCTTTACCGTTGAATGTTTGGAAAGATGACATAAAACAGTTCCATATCATCCTGAAACTCTCCTGGCCATCAGTCCTTATGATAACCATAAAAATCTTTTTAGTGGTATTGACACTGGCTATATGTTTTCTATTTTATTTTTAAACCAACACACATTTTACAATGCAGATTCTAATTAACATGGATCTGTCAAATCTTTTGCAAAAATAATTACCCATGTATTTATTTTCACATTACAGGTAGAGTTCAAGTGGTTGTATCCTTGCACAAAATTAAACATCATAAACCTTTTATAGAAAAAATAATATTTAAAAGACCTTGCACAGAAGCTCACTCCAGCAATACCTATTTTAAAAATATTTCTGTGTATAGTCAGATACTAAAGAAACTTGGCCATCAGAAAGACCACAAGTTATGAAAGACTATTGTGAGCATGTCTCTTGTCAGGAATCTATTGCTCTGTATTGTATAATTGGTGAAGAATGTTATTTATTGATATTCACTATATTTGTATTATGCTTGCTGCTTGTGCACTTACAGATTACATATAAATATAAAACAAGTTATGAAAAATTTGTGCATAAAAGATATCAACATTTTCTGCTATTCTGTATAACCGACATTGCTAAAACCCTTGGCCGATACTTTGTTTATTTTTAGCATTTTTAATGAAATTTCCATGTTTCACTTGATTTGTAGATGTTTTTATTTATGAGATTCAGACCTGTGCATCAACAGGGCACCTCTTAAATGTTAACCTCATGAAGCACAGTGCTGCACACAAGTTTATGTTCAACATATGTATGTCTTCCTTCTATTTATTTTTTATAAACAATATTTTATTCTCAGAAAAGGATTTTGGAACAGGCTAGGCCTATATACCGTTCATTTAGATAACAAGTCTTATTATTATATTCCTTGACAGTACCATAGAGATCATCTCTACCATATCAAATACTTCTTTATTTAAATGGATGGTACTTTGGTTTATTTTTCCTAGCAGAAATTCTTATTTATATTTTTAAAGGTAAGCTCTAGAATGTAGCCTACATACATGTACTATGTCATCTTGTAACATGGACGGGAAATCTTCCTTTGTTCTTTTCGTTGTTAAGCAGATTGTTTTCCCTCTAGTAGATTGGGTGGAGCTTAACCATGCATTAACTAGACATATTCAATGTTATTGCACTCTTGCTGGTTTACACTAGTTTTAGTAGAAATCATATAGAGAAGTGGGGTGGATTTTCTGTGCAATAACACCATGCATGTTGAGCAGGTGTCAATGTTACAATTTTAATTTGCAAATGTTGATCCGAACCTTTGTGAATGCAGCCCCAGTGTGTTAACTCTAAATCCATGTCTAGATCTAAAACAAATCGTATTCCTAAAATAAATTTCATAAAAATTATATATGTTATGGCTATGAATTTAATTTTTTCAGCTGAAACTCTACCATTTGCCTCGAACACACTTGCAGCAGAAATTATCTTAGTTTTTTTACTGGCTGGTCTTGAGGGTTTACGACTATTTTTTGGTGAGTATGGAGCAGGAATAGTGTAAATAGAAGCCCTTAACACGAGTCCAATCAGTCTGAAGAGTTCAATAAGAACAAAACTAGTCACTGATACTAGGGATAACCGAGTCTTAATAGCCAATTTTATCTTTTACCTCATTAACATTAATTTTGTCATGATTCCGATATGCATATTTTCATAGAATTACTGTACAAATTAACAAATGAATCATTAATCTAGAGTCCACAGTATTCCACACTGCAAACCAGGTTAATCCCCCTTACGGCCATGCCAAAAAAATATTCTTGTTGTCAGACAATCTGTCCAAAAAATCTAATGCAGGAGGGAGGTTTTTATTTTTGTGTTTATATTTTTGTCAAAGGATCACTACTTGACTAAATTTCATGGCACTATATTTTTAGTTTAGGAATGTATGATTATCCAGTACCATTTACTCTGTTGATAACATTTACCAGAGTTGCATAGTAATGCATAATTGATAAATGAGCCTACATAACATTTTTGGATTTATTCAAATTTTTTATAAAGTTACTTCCTGTGACCAGGGTAAAATATTTACCTGAGGTAATAAAATAAACTATTTTTATATATTTTTTGAGATATAAACGGGTCATGCATCCCAATTTAAGTGACGCAGGATTAGCTGAGAACCTGAATTTTTTTTTTTATATAGCCTAAATGTACTTCTGCTTTTCTTATACACTACATATATCTTTAAATAGATTCCTATTGTAATATTACAGGAAGGAAGGGAAATCTCACAGAACAGACAGTAGGAGTCATTATTTCTGTTCTACTCAGTGTACCGGCCATACTTGGTGCTGTATTTATTTTATTATGGCAGACATATGTTTTAAGAATTGATGTTATTCTGGCAGCTATACAGTTAGCATTTATTGGGTTAGAGCTCATCTTTGGTATCATTTCAATTATATCTTTTGCGAGGTAACCAATTATTTTCTTTACAAAAATTTACAATTCATAACCAACGAAAAATTCTAGTTCATTATGATGATAAAAAATACTCCTTCAGGACTTAATGAATATTGAATTCTTTATTTAGGCCTTATGATACCTCTGTTAGAAGTTAGATACTATGTGCATACTCTTCTCCCTATATTCCTGGAGATTAGGTGCCAATAACAAAGTGGTGACCTAATAATCGATAGGCTTAAAGCCGCCTTCTCAGATCCTTTAATTTTTCATATAAAGGGCTTGATCTCCTATCTGTTACCTTACTCCTCGCAGTGTTGTGTTTGGTTAGACCAAATCCACTCAAGCACTGCTATACTCAATGCAAATTTCTGTCCCAAATTATGACTGGTCAATACTCCGATTAACAACCAATACCTAACTGCATAACAATATCATTCGGGTTTAAACAGAGCTCCAAATTTTGTTTGCATGACTCATGAAATTTATTACACCCAGTGCATAGCAGAATATTGCAGAAAAACTAACTGCGTGACAAACGAGGCTATCAAAACAGCTACATTGTAAACAATACTTTTGGCGACAACCATACTTTCACTGTTTTTAATACCTTAAATCACTGTCCAAAGTTTTAAGGAAGACCCCAGATTAAACGAAGGGCTGTCATACTCATGTTCCTGTACTCAAGTATCAGAAGTCAATTCAGCAAAGGCCAGAGAGGGATTTCTTGGGCCATTGATTCAGGAATATGAGCAGTTAATAATACTTATCAGTGTTGAATACCCATAATTAAATGTAATACAACAGAGATATTATTCATTTTGATTCATTTACTGTAAATTTAGCCTTCTTAACTTTGACAGTATCTTATGTTTGTTGTTTTTATAAAAATGTCAGCATGACTATTCAAATAAACTATTTAATTGTATTAAAATATTAGTACAATGATTTGTTCTTTTATTTCAGAGCTGCAGCATATTGATTATTGGTAGAATATTGTGAAGAATGGATAAATTTATTTAAGGATGACAGTTCTCTCTTGTTTAACTAAAGTACATATATCTTAATGTAGATATCTTTAAATGTATCCGTCCATTAACATTCCTATGTTTTTATAATCATGTATATAAATTTCATTAAAAATTGAAATACAGTTATATTTTTCTTAAATTTAGGAGAAAAAGGGTGACAAGGTAGCTAATCGATTAGGTAAGACTTCTTCTGTGTGGTACTATTATTCTGGTCACAGATTCCGATACAGATTTGTAACACAGCTGCAATACGTAACCAGACCTGATATGTAGCACTATATCCTGTTTGAGCAACAAACTTAAGGCTTCAATATAGACTTACAGTAAAAATGAACTTCGATATGACTTCACATTGTGGTTTTTTTTTGTTTTTTTAATACTAACCAGCGGCTGCCAGGCAGGATACGCCCACATTTTCGAGAGATGGATAGAGAACAAGCTAAAAAGAAATCGATTTTTCGTACAATCAGAGGCCATAATTCAGGAAGTTACGGTCCGATATGCGCGAATATCGAAAGGAACCGAGATCTTTGGGTTATAAACTTATATTTCAAGTTACAACAAAATCGGATAAAAATTGTGACCTTGATATACCATATTCTTACGCTATTTGAGAACGAAGGGCGGCCATTTTGTCTGTCAGTTTTGGACCGATTTTCATGAAATTCAAACTCAGTCGTCCTTAAGGTCTAACGGTGATATAATAATACGTTTTTTTAAATCGGATAAAAATTATGACCTCTATGGGGTCCACAAGCTAAAATTGCAATTTTTCGTACAATCAGGGGCCATAATTCAGGAAGTTACGTTCCGATATGCGCAAATATCGAAAGGAACCGAAATCTTTGGGTTATAAACTTACATTTCAAGTTTCATCAAAATAGGATTAAAATTGTGACCTCTATAGGGTTCACAACCTTGATATACCATATTTTTAAGCTATTTAAGCCGATTCTCACGAAATTCAAACTTAACCGTCCTTAGGGTGTAAAAGTGTTATAATAAAGGTTTTTTAAATCGGATAAAAATTATGACCTCTATAGGGTCCACAAGCTAAAAACACGATTTTTCGTACAATCAGGGGCCATAATTCAGGAAGTTACGGTCCGATATGCGGAAATATCGAGAGGAACCATGATCTTTGGGTTATAAACTTACATTTCAAGTTTCAAAAACATCGGATAAAAATTATGAGCTCTATAGGGTCCACAACCTTGATATACCATATTTTTACGCTATTTGAGAACGAGGGGCGGCCAATTTGTCTGTCAGTTTTGGGCCGATTTTCACGAAATTCGAACTCGGTCGTCCTTAGGGTGTAACGGTGATATAATAATACGTTTTTTTAAATCGATTAAAAATTATGAACTCTATAGGGTCCACAAGCTAAAAACGCAATTTTTCGTACAATCAGGGGCCATAATTCAGGAAGTTACAGTCCGATATGCGCGAATATCGACAGGACCCGAGATCTTTGGGATATAAACATACATTTCAAGTTTCAACAAAATCAGATAAAAATTGTGACCTCTATAGGGCCCACAAACTTGATATACCATATTTTTACGCTATTTGAAAACGAACGGCGGCCATTTTGTCTGTCAGTTTTGGGCCGATTTTCACAAAATTCGAACTCAACCGTCCTTAGGGTTTAACGGTGATATAATGATACGGTTTTTTAAATCGGATAAAAATTCTGACTTCTATAGGGTCCACAAACTAAAAACGCGATTTTTTGTACAATCAGGGGCCATAATTCAGGAAGTTATGTCCAGATATGCGCGAATATCGAAAGGAACCGAGATCTTTGGGTTATAATCATACATTTCAAGTTTAAAATAAATCAGATAAAAATTGTGACCTCTACAGTGTTCACAAGCTAAAAACGTGATTTTTCGGTCAATCAGGGGCCATAATCCATGAAGTTACAGTCCGATACATGCCAATATCGAAAGGAACCGAGATCTTAGGGTGATAAACCTATATTTTAAGTTTCATTGAAATCGGATAAAAATTGTGACCTGTAGACTGTTCACAAACAATTGTGGACGGACGTCCAGACGGACGGACGAACAGACAGGGGCGACGACAATATACGTCCACATGAAAATGTGGGCGTATAAAAACTCAGGAAAACCTTGCTCTTCTAAATGGGGGGGGGGGGTAAATAAACGACCAATTTCCAAATATAACCGTTACGAACATATAAGCACAAATGATGGTCTATAGAAAATAGAAAAAAGAATTTTCTGGCAACCTGCTTGCCTAAGCGGTTGTCTGAAACCAACGTCATCAGTCACCTCTCCCACACCTTGGAATGAATGAGTCCTGGGATTAGCGATTTACTAATTAACTAGATAACAAACCTCATCTCTCAACCCTCCGTGTTTCGAGATAAGGGATGGTCCTATATGTTCAACGTAACAAAGCCGAACGCGAATCGCATCGGGCCTCAGTAAGCAAAATTGACAATATTTTTCATCAAAACAACGATTGATTATTATTATTTATAATATTTCTGCCACACCCAACTACAATTAAGCATATCTGAAGCGGATATAAATCATCGTATTTAAAATCGAGGCGTTTAAGCCGTTACTAAGAACGCCATTTTTTTTTAGATTGGAGACATTTGACCAACTGTCAACATGAAGGCGGAGCTAAATATAAGGGGTGCAGGCTGTTTCGTTACCTGGCTGTTTCGTACTTAGTTCATTCGTACCTCAGTTCGTACAGCCAATCAAAAAGGCAATGTCTAAAGCACCTAAGTATGAATAGACTTCGATGCAGTGGCGGCGCCAAGGGGGGGGGGGGCTCTGTTTGCCCCCCCCCCCCCCAATAATTTTAGAAAATAAAAAAAAGTATTTGTGATACGTTTCAGTAATCAATACCTTCTACGGTGAATAAATCCCACATCCCCACTCAGTCATAAACTTGCATGTTGTAGAGCATTTCCGACAGTCTATTTTTCAAAAAATTTTCTTAGGGATGTCCCCAATGGACTCGCTAGTTTGGCGCTCACAAGGGGAAATCGTTGAGGTTCGCAAGTCCGTTCGTTTGACATTTTGTTCTCTGGTCGGATAAACTAGTGATCAGGCAACGGACAGTATCTGGTAAGATCTATTTATCTCGACGATCGGTGCCTGACTGAATACTGACAGACAGCATTTCCGGCAGTCTATTTTTCAAAATTTTCTTGGGAGGTCCCCCATACCCTCTGTAAGGACTCCCTACTTTGACGCTCGTGAGTGGGCTTCGTCGAGATTCGCAAGTCCGTTCGTTTGACACTTAACCTCAACGATCAGTGCCTGAAATACTGCCAGACTGCATTTCCGGCAACTTGTTTTTCAAAATTTTCTGGGGAGGCCCCCCTACCCGAGCAGGTAGGGCTCTCATATTTTCGTTACTAAAGTAACTACCCCTACCCCTAGTTGAAGCTCGTGCCATTGCCCCCTGAACCCTAGACTTTGCCCCAGCTTTGCCCCTCCAATCACCTACGGCTGGCGCCGCCACTGCTTCGATGGCGGTGTATGTCGGATAAAAACAATGCTTCATTAATTTAAATGCGAATATTTGGAGTTAGGCGATACTTGTGCCACTACATTGGCCTCTGTAAGTTTAATTAGTCATAATAGTATAAAATTATCTTATTTTTAAGGTGTTACCTGCATTAAAGAAACTGAGTTTGCCACTTTGAACTAAAGGCATCCAATCATAGCTAAATGCAAGGAATTTACCAATATGGAGACTGTCTAACCAACTTATAATGCCATATTTGTAAAACTAAGAAACTGCGTATACAACTTTAAGCTGTTGATAGATATATTTTACAATATATATAACTGCTCATTAACCCATACAAACAATAGGAACCCATAGTTAATTAGTATTAATCACACTGATTGACCAGCGGTTCTTTGTGGAAAGGGTTAGCGACAGTAACAGCTTACCAGCCCTAATCAACGCTTGATAACTGTTCATTATCTCACAGAAGCAATAGGAACCCACAGTTAATTAGCACTTATCACACTGATTGACTGGCAGTTCTTTGTGGAAGGGGTTAGCGACAGTATCGGCTTACCAACACTGTTCAGTCCCTCCTTTTGTTTTAGATCTTTTTCGGCAGTAATAAGAAATATGGCGTCAGAGGCGACTTCTCCCATGTCCATGCGTTGAAGCATTTAACAGCAGCCCTGCGCCGGAGTTTTTTCCTGCAACAAAAAGGAGAGAGGAACCGACCGACGTCGTTCAAGTGAGGCCACTGGAAGGCAAGTCTTTCCAAGGAGCCAAACTTACGGCGGTAGGAAAAGAACTACATGTACGTACAAAGTGGGGTATTCCCGACATACTAGTAACGGTGCCTGGACATATGAGACTTAATCTAAAAAGCAAGACCGACGTGGACAAGGCACAGCTCCAGGACAGGCTGCTCGGTGTGACCGTGGCGGTATCCGAACCGAACACCTTGTTAATAGACAAGATGGTTGCTCATGGGATACCGGCCGAATATACCGGGGAGGAAATACTGGATGATCTCTTAGAAAGGGGCTACGAATCCACCGAGGTATACCGGTTTAAAGTGGACGATGGGAAGGTACAGCGCCCGAGGCCCTTAAAATCGTATATCTAAACAGGCGGACCCCCCCCCCCTATGTACAGAGGGTGCGGCCATGTGCCAACTGCCAGAATCAGTCAAGGGAAGACAGTGTGTGCCCAGTGTGGAACCACGCGCTTGTCGACTGCGAGGCGGGTAGGAAAATCAACTGTCCGAACTGTAAGGGCAACCATGCCGCGACCCCCCCCCCCACCCTGCCTCAACATAATAACAACAAAGCAAAAAGAAAATAAGTTTCAGAGAGGCGTCACAGCAGGTAAAAACCGAGGGGAGGGAAGCAAAAGTTGTCAGGGACCCGGCTGTGGAGCCAAAACTAGTTCCAACACCGATTCCCTCGACGTCGGATGCTACCCCACCTCAAGGGCAAAGGTAAAGGCAAAGGAAAAGAAACTAAGAAGACAACTACCAATCCAAAAGAAGCACCTACCAAACCAAAGTAAGAAAAACGAAAGATCCAGGAACAGGTTAAATTACATCAACCATCCTGCAAGATGGCGGACTAGAGAG